TCTCTCTCTCTCTCTCTCTCTCTCTTTCTTTCTTTCTTTTTCTCTCTTTTTCTTTTTTTTAGTTTTTAGCTCATCATCAAAAGACTTTCTTAGGTCTTTCATTCTGTCCTCTCTATGTGTCCACATCTATCCCAGCTCCGGGTGCTGGCTGACAGCCCAGGAAGCCCAGGGCCGAAATACCTACCAGGTGGTGCCATAAACCTTGGAATAGCAGTTTCTACCTATGCCAAGAACTAATCAACTGGATGGAGAAAGGCTTTTGAAAATGTTCCAGTTGTGCTTTGTTGGAAACCAATGCATCCTCAAGCTGCAACATCTTGCGTAAGATAGCTGTTTTATGGGGATCTGTCAGGAATTCTTTCAGCACTAATTTTTTTCAAAATCTCTACTAAGATTGAGATCAGTAATTTCCTTGTATGTTATGATTTTGTGAATGACAACCAAAGGTCTCCAAAGAATCTTGTTGAAAATTCTGGGGGTAATTGATTTATGACATAGGGCTTAATAGCTGAAACAATATCATGGGTGGGAGTTCTCCTGTTCAAAGTACTCATGCTGTTGAACTGTTTTTTAATAACAATGGCCATTGTCTTTCATAAACTACCTCTGACTCAGAGGCCAATAAAGTTCAGAAATAGCCCTAGAGACATAAGTGTGAATTAGGATTGCACCTGAGTAGTATCATTTATAGAAGTCCTACAAGGACTACCTTCAACCGGCCATTATATATGAGATAATTTCCAGGGACACATATTCTCATACCATCAGACAGTAGGGTTCCGGGATGCTTGACTTCCAATAATTTCAAATCTGCTTTGGAGCAAATTGAATTCCTTGGATATCCTTGTGAACTAATGTAATCTTTCCCAGCCGATATCCTGGACCTATTTCAAACCCGTGCTCTTTGGCTGTGGTCATCACTGAGACTGAGCCTGAAGGAAGCCACCTCCAAGGATGAGATTCAGGCATCAGGCCTGGGCCTGGCTCAACGCTGAGTTCCCTTACCTGATATAGGTTGGCGAGGTGGTGGTTAGTTTTGATCAAAAAGGGCTGGTTCACCCCTGGGTGGTCAACATCGTGCGCTGCTGCAGCCAGCAGCCCAAGCATGATGTCCAGAGGTGTGAGGAAGCTGGCGAGCTGTTAAAAAAGTCAGATCGGGAGGTCAGTGGGTGTGTCTCGCAAGCAGGTTAGCATTTGTTTTGACTAAATCGAATCGAATGAAGAGTCACAATATTGTTCAGGCCTCGCATCCTTCAGACCTTTACCCTCTGAAGCAATCAGTGAGGCGAGAGTCACATGGAATCGCAAGAAAAAAGGAAGGCCTGCGTGGGAAGTAACTGAGCAGCTCAAACTGTGTGGACTGTTCAGGGCCCTCCCTTTCCGCCGCCACCCTGTTCCCTTTTGCCGCCTGTCTGTGCCCAGGGAGAAGGCGGAGCCTGCGATCAGCCTTGCTCCCAGAGAAGGCTGTAAATGAAGTAAAAAGTTAAAACCAAGGCGATAAAAAATCATTTGTCTATGTCAACCACCCACTATATCATTGCCACTTATTTGACTATGAAATCAAGAGCGGGCTGAACTGCAAAATTTGCGTATTTCTTCAATGTGTAGTCAATAAAGGGGGGTGGGTTATGTGTGAGAATCTGTCTTGTGGTGTTGTTGTTAGCTGGAAAACAAGCAGGGGGATGGGAACCCATTACTAACTTTAAATATACACCTTTCAGGCTACCTAGAGATTAAATAAACACACAAAACCCTTTAATATCTTTGGGTTATTTTATATGGATGAGGCATCTTCCCAGTTTTGTCTTGGGAATGCTTGTCTGGCGTCTGCATAGTCAGTGGTTGATGTTAAAACGGATTGAACCGAAGTCTTAGACTGGGTTTGTTTTTTTCTAAAACCTTAAGAAAAATTCATCCTGTATGTTATACCAACTGTTAAACGGCTAAGAAACGCCTCGGTTTTGAGCAGCGAGCACTATTATCATGCTTTTAACTTAGGATTGGTTGATAACATCAGAGCACGCTTGCTAAGAGGTCTGCGATGTCCACACATTTTCTTGGGCCCGAGTCAGGATACTCAGTTGCCTTAGTAGGAAGTGGAGTTTGAGTTTTGAGGAGTTTTGATTCTATTTGTGGGAGACTTTAGAGGTGGGAGACTTTTCCCAGAAAATTTCAGTGCTGGTACCATCTGTAGCAAAGATTCAAGGCAAAACAGCTAGTTCCCGGGACTGCTGAAGATATCTTAGATGTAGTTTGTCATGGGGAGGGTTGTTTTTGCCCAAACACAGGCTTTCATACAAATTCTGAAAGGAAACTTCAGAAAATTTACAGCCTCTTTCATGAATATTGCATGATTTTCAGAGCTGACACTGGAATAAAAACAATTTGTATTCACACTGTGAATGACCCATAACAGTTATTCTGATCTGTTGGGTGAGTTGGGGCCCAGCAGGTAGTTTACTTGGCATTTCCAGATGGCTGAGGAGGCAGTGGGTCTGGCCTTACCTTTGGCTCCTTCAGGTAGCAGTGCATGGCCTGGGTGACATCGGCTGCGTGGACAGCATTGTGATATGGGTTCTGGCTGTGGTAATCTTCTTGAACCATGACTAGGAGGTAAACAGATAACTCAGTCAGCTAAAACCCAAACAGGAAGGGCATACGGCCTAGATTTATTGAGGGTCCCTTTTGCTTAAAAATACTAGTGTCTCCAAAATGTACACCCTGGGGATTCTTTAAAAATGAACGTGGCTTGGAAGTTTCGCAGTTCTACTGAGCTGTTTTTAGTGGAGAGGAGGGGGCGGGCAGATGGGAAAATGGTTAAAAGGATTTGTGAGGCCCTTGGGAATCCTCACCACCTTCATAAATCACCCTTTTCTGGCATTCATGAAGACTTTCATTCACAGGAAAAATAAATATGTAGGAAAAGGACACCTTTATTTCACACCATAGCTTAATTATTTAAGCTTGCTGCCATTTATGAATAATATGTCATAAAAGAGGTTTCCTTTTAAACAGCCCTGGTAGGTAGCATCAGCCTCCTGATATCCAAAGATGGGTCTACCACTTGAGTAACAAATACGGACCAAAGCAAATCTGGGGCTTCTTCAGGCAGATTTTCAATTTACTGTGTTGATCCAATGGAGGGCTCCTTGGCTTTATTTCTACCTCATTCAGATTAAGTTATCATCTTTCATGCCCGTCTAGTCTAAGGACCAGAGAGCTCTTGGAACCGAGTAGAGACATAAGCAAGGCACTTTTGGTTTGTTATTTACAGAAGCCACTAACTAATCTTCTTCAGCTAATAACCAAGGCAATGCTTAGGATGCACTATAACCAGTGTGGATAGAATGTCCAGATTTGCAAGTGCGGCCATATTTCGCCAGCCCATGCTGTGAGTTTGGCTCTGGATTCTGGTGTTATTTTTGTCATCAAATCTTCTCATTTTTTACTTGTGCTCCGGGTGTATGCACATGTCCAAAGCATCTGCATTCTCCCCCTCTACACGAATCAAAACTATTTGGCCTTATCCATGGCCACTGCTTTGCTCAAGCAATCTACATTCAGTTAGCTTGAGGTTATTTGTGTTTTTGAAACTGAGTCATGTTGTGGCTGGTTTCAAAAATTTCTTCTGTGCCATGTGTACCTTTTATTCAGTAAGTTTATTTTACAATGATATTTGAATTCTGGCTCTGCCATTATTATCTGTATCGGGAAAGTTACTTAACCACAAGGATCCTCAGTTTCCTTCTCTATAAAATGGGAATAACAATAGCTCCAAAGGGCTATGGTAAGGATTTAATGTGTTAACGTATGGAAGTCCTTACAAGGGTTGCCAGCATATGTAAGCACCGTATAAGCCTGGCTGTTGCTACTGTTGCTGCTGTAATTGTCACTGTTATTTTACTCTTGATGGCATCAAATCAACTTTCCAATTCAAAGCACAGCCATGGGGTAAGTCAAAGAGGCCAGAAACATGCTAAGTGGCAGCAGAAGGTTATGTGGTGATTAAAAATGTGCCCTGGATAATTCCTGGCAGTCAAATAAAAACTGGGGTTGCTCTTGATAGAGAGTGATGGTGGAGTTAAGTGGAAAGATGGTGGTCTTTCAAATCACAGAGACCCAGGTTTGGACCGAGGCTCTGCCAGTTATAAGTTGTTGACCTTGAGCAAGTTACAAAACCACTTTGTACTTCTCCTTAACTGTGGGCCAAATGGTGGTAATAATGCCCAACTTGCAGGTTGTTGAAATGATTAGAAACAGCATACCAACAGAATCCTGCATATAGTGGGCACTCCATAAATGGTAGTTCTTATTATTTAAAAAAATCTACTGAAGATATTTAATAACTTATGTCCCGATTAAGAGTCTTTTTTTTTTTTTTTAACATATCTTTATTGATTTCAGAGATAGGAAAGGAGGGAAAGAGAGAGAGATAGAAACATCAGTGATGAGAGAGTCATTGATCGGCTGCCTAGCCCGCAACCCGGGCATGTGCCCCGACCGGGAATCGAACCCCTATCTCCTGGATCCTAGGCCGATGCTCACTCACTGAGCCATGCCCGGCCGGGCCCGATTAAGATTCTTTGAGACATGCCTTGCTGGAGTTTTATTGATATATAAAGAGATCAGTAACTTCTTTGACAGTACCTGCTCTTGTTGGTTTTCTTTATATAGCCTTTATCTACTCTAAACATAATTAATCAAATAAATAATTTTTCAGTGACTTAAATGGGTAAATCATATTTTAAAATTAAAATAAGATAATTTAAGATTAATTTAAAGTCTTTATCTACCATGCTATGATTCCTTACAGTTTATATTAAAGAATATTGTGGACTGCCATTATTCATGGGAAAGGAGGTAGGAATAAGGGGAAAAAAAAAAAAAAGACTTACCTAAAAACCTGTGTAAGGTCACCATATCTAACTTGAAATGGTGAATGAGTCCATGGGTGTTGAAGAGGTGGCATAGCAGTGTTACCAGGCTGTTTCCTGGAGGAAAATAGTCAGCAGTTTTAACTCATTTTCGTTACCATTAAATTATCAAGATTGACAACAGGATCCATAGTTTCTGTAATAAAAGGTCTCTAATAGGATCTGCCTATTATCTTCCCCTTTAAATTTGAAATTATCAAGTATAAAGGATATTATCACTATGATCTGATCCTAAGTTTTCTCATACTGTACAAGTAAAATTAGTTCATACCTTCTTCCTACACCAAGTCAATGAATTATTAGCAACATTAAGAGTTATAAGGAGTTATATAAGGAGTCTGCCAATTTAGGTATCAATCAAGATGATAACTTAACCGTACGATATTTTATAACTCAAGCTGGCAGAGAGGAAAAATTGAAGCTACAATAACATGTAAACATTTAAGAAATATTGTTTATTAAAGAATAATGATCTTGAATTTTAAATGCATTATGGAGTTTATGAAAGAATGTGAAATGGACCAAGAAGATGACTGGATGTCTTAAATAAAAAACAAGGTGTTGCCTAAGTATATTCTTCCACAGTACCTGATTCTAAGAGTTTTCAGCAACTTGCATTGTCTTTGAGCTATTTCACAACAATCAAAGTTATAGATAACTAATTGCATTTCAAGCGACTCTTGTCCATATACATACAAATAAAATTACTCAGATGAAAATACAATTGCTTTCCTCTTCCCAGTTTTACAACTATTTATAAATTCATGTGTTTCTTACTGCTTATATATATGTGGTTCTTTGAATTCCCCTTTGAAAGAGTTGTAGCATCTTACCGAATTGCTGAGTTAAATAAACCTTTGACATGTGCTCATTTCATATTTCTATGAGAGTCAGGATTATACTCTCTTTTGAACAAACACCATTGAACATATTCTTTGGTTCACAGTTAGTTTCATTTACTGGTCCCAATTTCTCAGTTGATTTGAGCAGAAGGAAGATACCAAATTATGGAATCCATCCCTAGTTAGCTTTCCACAGTGCAAAGTTCAGTGTCCTGGTCTTAGGCTGTGCTCTTTCCACTGTATGTTGTTTGTGAAGTTATAGAATGATGGGAAAACAATCTGGAATGACATAAAGCCCAAACTTGGTAGATGGCGGGCCATGTGAAGGTTGGCATTAAATATGTCTTTCATTGGCTCCCTAAGCTTATCGGCATTTGTTGAACGGGCACATGAAAAATATAATAGGATTTTATTATTTTCTTAAAGGAAGCCTTTATAGGCACAAAAATTTAAAAAATGAAATCAATGAGAATATCTACTTTCCTTTCATCTGCAGCCTAAGCTTTTACACTCTATCCTCAGCAATTGTTTTCTTCTGATGATGCCAAACATAACTGAACAATACCTGCAACTGGCAGGTTTAGCTCATTTAATGAAAGTGCACCAACACCTGTCCTGGAAGAGTCAGGGCTGATCAGATAAGCTTTTGTGTTTCTAATTTTCATTGGCTGACAATGAACTTCCTTCTTTTGGATGTGGCCAAAGTGTTCTGCAAGGACAGAATCTATTCTGTGGTTTCCAAATTCCTTTGGAATCCTCAAGGCCAGAAGGAAACTGTTTTAAGATTCTAAGGTGGAATTCAGTCCTTAACTCTTCCTCTGAATGAATTTTCCCTGCCCTGGTCCTTCTTGAATGGCTGCAGGCTTATGAAAGTGGGGAAAGAGGGAAAAAGGAATAACAATGTTTAAAAATAAATAGTTTTTCATAAAATTAATCCAATTTTATGTTGTATATTTTAGTGTGAATTCTTTTGGGCGACTTACCATTTGTCAAGCGATCAAACAAGAAAATGTCAAAATCCCACATTCCCACTTTGGAGAGCATATGCTGAAAAGGCAAACAAAAAAACCACTCAAATAAATCATAGCAGAGACAAATATTTGCTTTGACACAGAGCGAGTAAAACAATTAAAAAGTTGAAAATACAGTAGCATTCTCCTGTCTATGCACGACTGGTTTGTAGTAAAATAAATCCTACTCTACTAGCTAATAACAATAGTGTTAGAGGGACAGGCGCAGGGATCAGTCGGCCTGGTCTGATGGCAACCACATCTCTGACTGGCTGTGGTACTTTGGGCAAGTTCCTTAACCTCTCTGTACCTCAGGTTCCTAATGGGAAAAATGTGGTGATACTATTACTTCAGAGGGTTGTTGTGAGGTTTAAATAAGGTAGTATATGTAAACATAAATGCATGTAATGTAAGTGCTTAGAACAGTGCTTGTATATAGAAGCACACACACATTAGAAATCTGTTAAAACTACAGTTCCGTGAAGTCTCTATATCTTAAACTACTATTCACTTAATGCAGATTTACAACAAATTTTAATAAAATGAAATTAAATGATGGCTGAGCACATTATTCTGCTCAATGTGAGACTAACTGTAAAATTAACCACTGTAACAGGAAACTGAAGGGTGAACAATTGAAAATATTGGGGTAATCTACAGACCTATGTTAAATAGGCTTATTATTCTATTTTTATTTTTTAAAATACCCCCTGCTTAGAATTAGATGGTGTTAGCTCCCAGTGAGACACAGTGTTCCAGCTGCTGAGTCTCCCCTCACTGTAGGCCCTGTGGCGAGCCCTCCTCTTTTCTCATGGCCACCGCTCCTCTACCTGCCCCTGAATGGCTTCTTTGTATGTTAAGAAAAATCCAAAGGCCTCATCATGGCCCACAAAGACCTTCACGACACCATCAGAAAAGTGAAGGGTTGAGGGTGTTTGTGAGGTCTAGATGGAGTGAGCATTTTACCCAAGTCATACAAATCCAAGGGCAGAGAGCCAGGACGTGCTCTCTGATACCCTGAGTCCTGGCCTCTGTTCTTTGTGTGTCTCAGCGTTGCCTTTCCTGAGAGGTGGCTGCTTAGAGGGGAGGCACCACTGAGAGCGTCTGTCACTCTGCTCCAGTGCTGAGAGCTCAGTCTCGCTCTCCTCTAACCAAACAAATGAACAAACAAACATTCACTCAATCTCAGGCCTTGGGTTGTTAGAAGGAGTGATTCCCACCCCCCTTTTGTAGATCTAATATTGGGAATTAGTTCTTCTGGTATTACTTGCTATTTATTTCTTAACAGTATATATACAGTATAATATTACTTCACATGTAAACTATAAGATACTACCTTTGATTTCTTTTAAACTGAGGCAGTTTATTTCTGAACTTTAAATTCCTTTGGCAGTTTGGGTTAGAGATAGTCTGCGAGCTTTTTTTTTAGATTGTCACACATTAATTTCTACCTTCAGTTGGACCAATGAATTGCAAAAATAATTGTAAAATTAGTAAAAATTATTTGAATGAATTAAAAATTATAAAAAAGATAATGCACCATGTTGCTAGCCTAAAATGGAATTAAGAGTTGGCAATTATTGGGTTAATTTCACTGTAGCTATTACAAATGAGATAATCCAATGGGTTAAAAATTTGTTGTTCTCTCATTAGTAATCAATTAGTTAAAAAATTTACTTTACGTAGTGTTCTGCAAATGTTTTGCACAGAAATGAAAATAGCTAGGTATGAATATATTAAGCATGTAAACATGTTTTACCTCATTTAATCTCTGCTCACCCCTATGAGGTATGTATTTCTATTAACTTCATTTTGCATTAGAGGAAAAAGTCCAGAGATGCTGAGCAACCAGCCAGAGTCCCAGAGCATCTCAGTGTCCGAAGCAGGGCTCAGGCCTACTACCAGCGGAGGCGCCTGCTCTCGGCCACTGCCTGCTGTGAGGTGGCAGAGGGGTAGCCAGCTCACCCTTGCTTGTCCAAGGTAGTCTTCATCCAGCAGGTGGAGAGGGGCCTGTGGTATAATTCCACGGAGCAGCCTTGACGCATGGAAGTATCTTTGAAAGCTTAACAGTCTTTTCACCTTTTTCTTGGTGCCGATTTCCCCTGAGTGTGTTGTATCTGTGGAAAGTAATCAAATTCAGAAATTATATATATTAAAAAGCCCCATTTTCTCCACTATATAAAAATACCATGTATTATAAAGGAGAGACATTTTAAAGATGCTCTTGATGCTTTCTTAAATATAGTCAATTTAATTCTGCTTTTGAAATTCTTCTAGAACCAAAAGAATATTTCTTAAATATTACATTTATTAAAATAGTGAGATATTTTTAGCCCTGCCCGGGTAGCTCACTTGGTGAGAACATCATCTCGATACACCAAGGTTGCGGGTCTAATCCTTGGTCAGGGCATATACAAGAGTAAGGCAATGAACGTGTGAATATGTGGAACAAATCTCTCTCTCTCTCAAAGTCAATAAGTTAAAATATTAAAAAGTGATTTAAAAATATTGAAATATTTTAACATATAATTTTGGAAGACAAAGTATATGAATTAAAAACTGCATTTTCTTATTAATGATGCTGTGCTTAGTAAGTGAAATCCATACACCTCTGCATGCATTTAAAGAACCAGTTAAGCTTTTTTCTGCTACATTGGAACTGACATTCCAATATTTGGATCAGGTTCTCATCCTACACTCTAGTCTGATCAAATCCTTCACCTGAATTAGAAGAGTTGAGAATACACTTGCCTAGAACTGAGGAAATGTTTCCTAGTGTTCCAAGGACATCAGTGACAAAGGAATCAACAATCTTAGCCTAAAAGCCACTTACATTCCCCTGACATGAAGCAGAGAGGGTGTTTACTTTCTAGTGGAGCACATTCTCTTTTGCTGGTGGCCATAAAAGTCTGATCCTGTCAGTAGAGATATTTTAATACTCATGTCAATGTACCTTTCAAAACTTGACTATTGACATTGTGGCCACTGTCCAGAAATACCCCAAGCCCATTATTTGAATGCCTGTCAAGGTGTGTCTTGTCTCAGCTGGAATTCTGTGAATCACTCTAGGGCCACGTAAGAGCCATCTGCTGACAATTTTGGATCTGAGTTAACTGAACAGTCTAGTGGGAAAAGGTACTGTTCATATATAAAGAAACTTTGGTTTCTCTCACGCCTCCTCCCACCTCCCTTTTCCTCTGTGGAACTCAGAGATCATAGTGGACGCCAGAAGCACAGGAATCAGTGGTCAGGGGCCTCCTTAGCAATGTGGCGCTCCCCACCGACGGTGAGTCAGTGACCAACATCAGTTTGTTACTTAGGCTGTATTATGCATACAAAGGAATAATTCAGGGCAGAGGAAACCTACTGTTCTCTGGAAATGCTGCCTGATTAAAATTAAAAAAAAAAATCTAGATTTCATGTGTGGAAAGAGGCAAACAAGTACGTGTGGAGATAAGAGGAATACAACGGAAGCTGGGTGTTTAGGTGCACAGCAATATAAAGATGGCACAGGTGGACTCAGTTCTACTAGTGGGTTCCTACTCATTTATATCAGTTTATCAAGTCAAAGTACAGGATAAAGTGGTTGATTCATTTATTTAAAAACATTTTGAGTGTTACTAGGGGCAGGCACTGTTCTAGATATTTGATGAGATCCTTCGGATCTAGATCCCCCAGTGAGCAAAACAAAGACCCCCGTCCTCCTAAAGCTTATATTCTAGCATAGAGAGACAGACAACAGACAATAAACATAAAGGAGAAGTACTTTATAAAAATGTGATAAGTGCAATGGGTAAAAAAAAGTAAGCAGAGACTGAGGGAGCAGAAGTTCTGTGTTGGGGTAGTTATGGTTGGCCTCATTAGAGGGTACAACTTAATCAAAAGCTGAAGTAGATGGAAGAGCTGGCCAAACAGGTATCTGGGGAAATGCCTTCCACACAGAGGGACCAAGGCCGATAACCCTAGAGCGGGAAGCGTCCCTAGCTGCGGGCCTGCAGGCGGGGAGGACGGCAGGAGGCCCACGCAGACGGGGCGGGAGCGAGAGGGGGAGGAAGAGGCGAGGCCTTGGAGCGAGGGGGCCTGAGACTCGCACGGGGCCTTGCCGGCCCCTGCAACAGCTTGGGCTCGATTCTGAGGGGAACACGGAACCACTTCAAAGTGTCGAGCGCAAGGGTGGTACAGTCATGTTACGCTTAAAACGGGCCGCGCTGGCTTCTGCGCTCCCCGGGGGCAGGTTCTGACGTGGCGGGGCCTGGCGAGCCGCTGAAACAATCCGGGCCGAGGCCATGGCTGCTGACACCACGGGCGCGCAGCGGAGAGGTGGGGAAAGGGTATATTTGGGGTACCGCCAAGTTTTGGGCCCGAATAACCAGGTCGATGGAGCTGCCTCCGCCAAAGATGGGAAAGTCTGCGGGTGGAGCCGGTGTGGGTGGATTTCACTCTTGCACACAAGGAATTTGGAAGTCTGTCGGGAAATCAGGTGACAATGGCAGGGACAAACAAGCGGCTATAAAATCCAGGGCCTGGGGAGGAGGCTGGGTTGGAAACATGAACTTAGGAGTTGTCAGATGAGATTATCTAGGGAGTATAGATACAGATGAGAAAAGCATCCAAGTCACATCTTTGGAGCATAAGCTCAGATAATGTAAAAATAATTCAATAATAAATTAAATCTAAACAATAAAACCATGTCATAGTTAATTGGTTATGGTAGCTTGTAGGTTAAAAAATAGCATTTGCTATTATATACACACCAATATTTTCTAAGCTACCAAGGCAAGCCATGACAACGCTGTTCAGCACCTCCATCTGGGTGTTCTTTAGACAACAAGAAAGTCATTCAGAAGTGATGCTAGATAGCTATTTATGAAAACAATAGGGTTTAATTTCCTTATTTGAGAAAATACATAAAGCTAAATGGAAAAAAAAAAGCCTCAAGGTAGCTCTCAAAACAGGAAGAACATTTAATAATAAAAAGATAAATTTATTTAAGACAATATTAATAACTTATTTATCAACTTTTATTTAGGGAGTACTTTGTGCTATGTGAAAAAGCGAAAAACTAGCATATCAGAAGCAGGAGGTACAGCTGGGAGAAAAAAATCCATATAAAGAACAATCTGTGAATAATAGTCATAACATTTTGAAGTGTTGAAATGTGTTGTACAATTACTGAATAAATCTGACACATTTGTTTCCAAAGGACTTTCAGTGAATAGCTAGTATATTTACTTCTACAATTAGATATATTATAATATGTATCTCTGAACAGATAGTTAAATGATTAGCTAAACTAAATTTTACAGATACCTCAACTAAATTCAGCTTATGAAAATTCAGTCTTAACAATGTCTCTAATAATAAAATACTGGGTTGATGCCTTTATATAATTAAAAATATCATTATTTAAAGGCATTCAAAGTTATCCTAATGGTGCTTTTTATTTGGCTTTTATTGTTCTATGGGCTATGGGTCCCCAAATCCTCTTTTGACGTAGTTATAAAATGCTGCTCCAGAATGTTTTGTTGCCTGGTCCATGTGTGCATTGACCTGACTGTAAAATTCAATTTCTGCTTACTTGTTGTTTTATGAATTTCACAAATATGTGCATATTAACACGTTTCTGTACTATTTAGTCACTAATTTTAGGGTTATAAAGTTTAAATTGGCATGACCAATATGGTAATTAAAAAATTCACAAGTTGGGGTTGGCTTAAATGCAAAAAATGCTAATAAAAATTATTTTCATTTTGAGTACCTTCTCTATGACATATTCTCTTTATAAGGGCTAATGAATTTTGGCAGCAGGAGGAACTTTAAACCTAGAATAAATACCTGGGATTAAAAAAAGCTATAAGCCCACCTATGTGATGAGGCTCTTTTTGTCAACTGTATACCTGGTTCCTTCAGCAAGTTCTGTATCCATTGTTTCCAGAATTTCAATAGTTAGCAATTGGTGCAGAAGCAGCTCAGGTGATGCCGAGAACAAAGAGAACCTTTCTGTTTAAGTGGGCAGAACTTGCCCTAAGCAAACATGAAGCTCCAACTCCATAAATTTAATATCAATACTTTCAGAGCATTAATCCAACAAAATCTCAAAATAATGTGTTATTAAAAAATGACCTACTCTGATAATTATCGTACTAATAATTATAATACTTACATATTATATAGTTATTGTTATATGCTATACTAATTATATGATAACTATAATAAAATTCCTTGCTAGGTTAATGGTTATTCATACGCTTTGTTAGTTTACAGAAATATCATAATCAAACTCCATTTTAAAAGAATAATCCCATTTATAAAGCAAGATGCTAATACTTTTTGGAATCATTTTCTCAATCCCCCAGATGGAGGTTCAGGGCCCAGGCCCTCCCGCCACCACCATTCTCTGTGATTAACCTCCACTACGACACTCAGTTGTGCCTGAATGATTGGAAATCCACTCTTATTTACAAGTCGGACTTTCCTATTAGACTGCAAGGTCTTGGAGGCCAGATTCCTGCTAGCTTTCTTTGAATTTCCACAATATCCTGCAGGTTGTAGGTGTTAAATACATGATGACAGAATTAAATAACTTTCCTACGTGTGAGCTCTGGTTCTAACTTCAAGAATGATGAACCTTGGAGAAATCAAGATAAAATTCTAGTTTTAAAGATGCAGTTTTAAAAAAGATGAGAAAAATTAATTAGTTTGATTTTAGGTGTAATGACTTCAGTACTCAAGTCTCACCTTTCACTGTCTAACCTCTCTAGATATTAAAGTCTCCATTTATTCATAAAAAGAGCCAGTTGCCACAAATCCTTTTAAAATTTAGAAATGATATTATAATATTTAGAAATGATATTATAATATTGATACATAATGTTATATATAGAAAACCCTATCAAAAAACTGTTAGAACTAATAAACAAGTTAAGTAAAACTGCAGGATACAAAATCAATACGTAAAATCTGTTGCATTTCTATACACTAATAATGAACTATTAGAAAGAGAAATTAAGAAAACAATCTCATTTATAATTGCATCCAGAAGAATAAAATACATAGGAATAAATTTAACCAAGGAGGTGAAAAATCTGTGTACTGAAAACTATACGACTAATAAAAG